TGTATTTGAATAGAAATATTGAGGGGTAAGCTCTTTGTTTCTAGGCTCAGTGAAAAGGATGTTCCAGACAATGTTAGCAGCAGACAGGACAACAGAGATAATCGGTTTATTATCCTGTTTATTATTTATTATTACCACCTCAACTACTACTATTTCTACTACCTAGGCACTTCAGTGGCACAATTGAAAGAGCACTGAACCTGCAGTCAGGAAGATTTGAGTTCAAATCCTTCCTTAGACTCTTACTATCTGTGTGATCCCGGGCAAGTCACGTGAACTCCATGTGCTTCAGGTTCTTTGTCTGTAAAATGGGAGTTGGCTGCTTCTTGTCCTTTGTTCCTGAAGAGGACCAAAATGACATCACTATGTTGTGGTGAAAGGGGTGTAAAAATATCATCTACCTCCAAGGGCTGTCATGAGGATGAAATGAGATCATATTTGTAAAGCATTGCGCAAAACTAAAAGTGCTTTATAAATGCATATCACTCCTCCTCCTCTAAGATTCTAGGTCAGCTAGGTGCATAGAGCTCCAGGTCTGAAAGGAGGAAGACTCATCTTCCTGAGTTCAAATCTGGCCTCTGACACTTAATAGCTGGGTGACCCTGGGCAAGTCACTTAACCCTATTTGCCTCAGTTTCCTTATCTGTAAAATGAGCTGGAGAAGAAAATAGTGAGCTGCTACAGTACCTTTTCCAAGAATACCCCAAATGGGGTCATGAAGAGCTGGACACAAGTGAAATGACTAAACAACAACACTCTAAGATTAGCATTTAGCAAGCAAAGTGTCTGGCACATCCTAATTCATTTAATAAATGTTTGATTGGTTGATATATTAGGACCTGAAGCAATTGAATAGTTATTCTCTCCTAAAGTGAGTTGGGAACCAGCCCTCCCACGTCCTGCAACACTGACTGGCCCTGTACTCCCAGTATTGGGTGCCCATGGTGGCCACAGAATTGTACCCTTGTGTTCCTTGTGTGCATTAGAAGCAATGACTTTCTCTAAATTCCCATACATCAAGAGATTGACTATACCCTTCCTTTGCAGATGGTGGGGGTTTTACCACTTGAAATATTACACTAGCAACACATGGCTTTGAAAACCGAAGCTGTTTTCACCCTCCGAGTTCTCTGTGCTGTGAAAAAGTGAAAGTATTGACAGAGGAATGGCATATGGAGATATTCCATAGCAACAGAACTTCTGGGGCAGGATCTTAGGGCTATTTGTATTTTTTAGAAGACAAAAGGGAAAGGCACCAGAGATCTATGCAATGTTGAATATCATAAGAGAAAGGGGGAGTGAAATTAACTTATAAAAAAGCAAAACAAAATAAAACAAAATAAAATTACATAGTAAATTCTCTATACAGCTGTGATTTTTTAAAATAGCAAATGCCAAGTAAGTTCTTACCAGAGAGGAGGGACAATGTCTCAGAAAAGCTGATTTTAGGATTATTCAAGTGTCATAAGATGCCCTAAATTGACTTGATATGCTGTTATACATTGCCATTCCTCTTCATTCCACTCTGTGTCAATAAGTAGAGGAGGCATTCAAGGTGGTGCTGGGGTCATCTTGTACCAGCCCACAAGAGCCTATAGTTAAATTTTCAATGTGAGCATTTACATCTCAGAAATTAGCAAAGGCTACAAATCAAGGCTTGATTTATTGTTTTGTTGGTGCTCTAGATTTAGGAAAGTAATAGAGAAAACAACAATGCAGATTAAACTTTAAAGTATATTGTTCATACATTTCCTTCTTTCCTTCCTCCCTCTTTCTTTCTCCTTGTTTCTTTTTCTCTAGTCTTCCATCCCTCCCTTTCTTTTTCTTTTCTTTCTTTCTCTTCCTTCCTTTCTCTTTTCTTTTTTCTTTCTAGGGCTGGTCATGAAGCATTTACCCCTGGAATTATTATCCCTCTTTGAAGGAAGGAAAAACTGAGGTTAAGAGAGATGGAGTAATTCATCTGAGGTCACACAACTAGTTAAAGCCAGAACCAGGATCCTGGAGATCAATATCAGATACATCTTGAACTGAAATTTAGCCAATGTCCATTAGTGATGCATTCTCTGGGCCAGGAGGATTTCTTTCATTTTTCTTCTCATTGGGCTTAAAACCCTATATACCAAATGAACATCAAATGATTGTAATATGAGATACACTGAGGGGAGACTCTAGTTTTTGTCCCTGTTTCCCTAGCACCTAGAAGGCACTTTAAAATGCTTATTGATTATTAGTTGGAGAAAATCCAAGGCCCTCACCAGGTCATCACAAAAGGCTCTGAGTTCTCCACCTAGGGAACTACTGCTAAAACACCATGTAGTACAACTTAGTCACATAAATGAATTGGTGCTTGGACAGGGATCTGACCTTGGCCAATAATTGAAAATGGAGTTGTTAGCACCTTTGAATAGAACTATGAGTCTGAGACAGGGAGCACAGCAACAGTCATGTTTTTAAGACTTTTAAAGTAATTAATTAAGCACTTGTATGCACATAGTAGGATACTGGGGATACAGGGAAATGTAAAATTTCTCTCAAGGAGCCCACGGTCTAATGGGGGTGACAACGTGCTAACAAACAATCTCTACAAGATAAAGTGGAAATAGTTGTCAACAGAATGGATTGTAGGGTGAATGCCAGTGAGAAGTTAAAAATCACATGCAAGTTGTTAGCCTTGGTGACTGGGAGTATGGTGCTATTTTGGACAGTAATAGGAAAGTTGGGAAGAGAGGAGAGTTTGGCGGGAAAAGATAACGAATTCTCTTTTGAACATGTTGAAGTTGAGATGTCTTTGCAGCATCTAATTTAAGATGTTCGAACAGTAGTTGGTGTAACCAGACTGGGATTAGGAGGGAGATCAGTGATGGAGATGTAGATCTGGGAATCATCTTCATAGGGATGATAACTGAATCCAGGGGAATTGAAGTGATCACCCAGCAAAACAGTAGAGAAGGAGAAGAGAAGAGGAACCAGAGAACAGAGCCTTGGGGGACAGCCAAGATCAGTGGGTATGACCTGAAGATGTAGCAAAGTAAACTGAGAAGTATTGGTCAGACAGGTAGGAAGAAGTGTCAGAAGTGAGAAATGTCATGAAAACCTAGAGAGGAAAAAGTATCCAGGAGAAGGTGAGTGACAGAGGTCAACAAGGATGAGGATTAAGAAAAGGCCATTGTTTTCAATTGTGTCCGACTCTTCATGATCCCACTGGGGTTTTCGTGGCAAAGATACTGGAATGGTTTGCCATTTCCTTCTCCAGCTCATTTTACAGATGAGGAGAACGAGGCAAACAAGTTTAAGGGACTAGCGCAGGGTCATATAGAGCAAGTGTCTGAGGCCATATTGGAAGAGAGGAACCTTTATAAAATGCTCATTTCCTTTTTTCCTTCCTATCCCTAAGAAAAGACAAAGAGGTTTACTTAGGTCTAGTCCTACCCACATTGCTTTTGTCTGAAATTAATAATCTAGCTCACTATTAGGGGTTCTGGTTTAAGCAAAGGGAAGGATATGTACTGAGAAATTTAAATTGTATTTTCTAAAATGGCCTCTAAAATGAGATTTTGCAATCAAGTTCTCAGGCTGGCACTGAGTTTATTGTACTAATTGCCTGTTTTCTCTTGTAACAGAAAATAAGACAACATACCATCCCCTGCCCCCAAATCAATGGCATACACAAGAAAATATTTTTCTGTATTTTTCTTCATACAATGTAAGAGAGACAATCCAATGAACATAGACAATACAGCCTGGAATACCAAGTGAAGAAGCATATTCTTCACAAGCTTCCTTTCTAAATGAATTTCATTCCTGTTTCAGGGAGGACCATTTCCTTAACTTGGATAATTTTTTTTTCATACCACAACTACCTATTCGGGAAGCAACTCTTTCATCTTAAAAAAAAAAAGGAAACTTCTAAAAAATTCCTAAAAATGATGTGTTTCATCTCAAAGTTAAGGCTAACTCTCCAATGACTTAGAAGAACCAGATCTAATGAAGCTAAATAGCACTGGTTTGAAACACTGGATCCATTTCATACCCTTGGGGCTATTCTGATAGTGCACAGGCAGTGGGACCAGGATTCTCTGGTGGTTTTGCACAACCATATGGATGAAGGATAGCAAATAGAGCGGAAAAATGTTTTGCTTTTATTTATTTATTTCAACTATGCTCATGTAAAAATAAATTACACGTATGAAATAGTTGTTGAAGTAATTTTTCAATCAATCAACAAGCTTTTATTAAGTGCCTAAACTATGCCAGGCACTGTGTTAGGCACTGGGGATACAAAACCAAAAATGACCAGTCCCTGTTGTCAGGTAATTTACATTTTACTGGGGGTATGTATGTGTGTATGTGTGTATGTGTGTATGTATGTATGTATGTATGTATGTATGTATGTATGTGTATATATATATAAAATTATTAAGATATATCTTAGATATAAGATATATGTGTAATACATAGAGATATTATTAAGATAAATATTAAGAAAGATATCAGTTTATTCTGAATGTTATGTCTTTTTTGTTTTAATATGACCCTAGTGGGCTACACCTAAATCACAGAGCCATAAGACACCTTGAAGATCATCTAATCCACAATTTCTAGATGAGGAAATCAATGCCCAGAGAAGTTCAGTGACTTAAAAAGAGTAATAGATAACAAGAAAGTCAGGAATAGAACCAGAACTTCTGACTCTGGCTCTTTCCATAACACCATCCTACTCTAGAGTTTCCAGACCTCTCTTATAGCTCAGTAAACTTGGTTTTCCCACAATTTCAAGGATATAGGTGCTCAATTTCATAGGATTTGATGGGGGCAGAAGGGTCAAACTGGAACCCAGGGGATGATTTACATGATGCCTTCAGAATGGGACAATCAAATCCTTTAGAACATCGATTCCACATCATAAAACAGGTTAAAATAAATAATTAAGCTATCTTACCTGACATAAATTCTGAAAAAGAAATCAATTGCTTAGGTGCAAATAAGCAAGACACAAAACATTTTCTTTCTTTCATTATCTTTAATCATCAGGAAGAGGAGACTGTCAGGAACTCCATTGGAAAGAAAATTTATACAATGCTGGATCTTGACTTTTCTTTCACTTGAAAGTAATTATTCCTCAGAAGAGTAATGAAAACATACTTGTCTGAAGCCTGATTCTTCCTTTCAGTCCTGAAAGGACTTGTGGCAAACAAGTATCATGAGAATCCCCATAGCCTCTAATGCTATCCTTTTAGGGAGGCAGAATTTGTTTTCTCCTCATACGTAACCCAGCAAGGCCTTCAGCAGAGTGAAATATTTACAGTTCCCAAAGGATTGTGAAGTTGCTTAGGATAGCAATTTTCCCCCTCCTTGATTTAAGGGGAAAAGATTCCTTGATTGAGATAATACATATCCTTTTCCCCAAAATTTCTTGGTCATAAAGATAATGCTAATGATGGCAATTTCCTTACCAGCCAAGCACAGATCTTGCCAAAGGAGAGAATCATTAGGCAGGGGAGGTGGTGTTATTACTAACATCTTAAATTCAGGAAAGTGGATGGCTACTGCTGTCTTATATACAAAAAAGTCTAAGATTAGGTCTAACTTGAATAATTATCATACTTGACAAAAATATATTTAATCTCTGACCACATGCCCTACTCATATAACCTTAAAATTAGACTAATTTTATGTACAGTTCTAAGTATAGATCATTTCTAGGGCTTATAAATAATTTCTTAATGATTCCATTTCAGAGAACTTTAATAATCACCTCATAAATAGCAAAATATATAATATTTCAAATAGCCTAATATGGTTTGGTCATTTATATATGGAATCTGAAAAATGTAAAACAATTTTGAAGTTTTTTAAGCTTGGAAATAAGGAAATTTTTCTTCTCAAAAAGGAAATTTTTAGAGGAACAATTATCTTCTTTTAAAAATCCTTTTATGATAAATTTAATAGAAATCACTTGTTTATTAATTTGTATCTTTTGAATTGTCCTTTAAAATATGTTTCAAAAATAGGGAATTTGTTTCTTATAAAGATTAAAAATGTTAGTAGTTCTAAAGGAGAATTTATTTCCAAATAATTTTTTCTCAATCCTGGGACAAAAGTACCCTTGAAGATTTCACAATCCCATGCGGGCATGTGTTTGTGTTTGGAAAGAGTTGGGAGAATGGAAAGTGAGAAAGGAAGCAGAGATGAGAGCCTGTAACAATGATTTCCTGTTTCCATGGTTGAGAAAGCTCCTTTAATTACACTGAATTACTCTTTCTTACATGGAGAGCAGTAACAGATGCAATCATTTGTATTACGCACATTCAAAATCCTGGAACCAGACCAGCAGAAAAGAATAAAGGCAAAAAGGTGTGGATTTTCCATTTTAAGTTCTCATGTGCCTTTCTATGCTCATTTGTTCACTTTAAAGTACATAATTGCAAATGGCATTGTGAAAAGCTTAACCTGCCTTCTTTGCTCTTGGCATGTCATTGGTGTCTAACAACATGAGAGGATGTTTTGAAAGCACCTTTTATGGAATGAAGTTAAATTGACTACATGTTTTTTTCCCTGTAGAGATGCTTGAAGGATAAACGGATAGAAAGAAAAGGGGGAGAAGGGTACCATCAAGGGCAATCTTTGATACACAGATGAAAATAGATGTTATAATTTCTTTCTGGAAGCATTTTCAGAAGCACCTAATAACTCAATCATACCTTTTAACATAACAATAATGGTATTAATCTGTTTAAACTTAAAAACTCTCTTCTCTAGGCATTACTGGGAGAACCTGGAAATCTGCTCAGTATGAAGCATTAGCTATTAAATAATCTGCAGTGATAACAGTTTGGCTATTTCAAAAAAAGTCAGCAAGAAACAGCCATATTTCTGAAGTGCTCACTGTCAGAATGTCCGATTCCGTTTTTAGTTCAAGTTCAGGAACTGAAGTTTTATTTCGAACTCTTCTAATGGTCTTTCACCTTCAAATACTGCTGTAAACCTTAGGCAGAGTGTTTTTCTCCTTGTTTGATACCAAGAACAAGATGTAAGAACCAGTTAAACTGCACAGTCCAGCCTTTGTCTCTACAAACTTCTATCTGATCAAGGAAATACTTCTTGGCCTCCTCTTCATTTTTCCCCACTGTCAAGGCATCCCGAATATAGTCAATATCTTCCTTGCTAGTTAACTGGGGCATACCAGTCATCAGCATCATGGAAAACAGGATGATCAGTAGGTTGGTGTGTTGCCGAAGAGCTAGGTAAGCCTTGACACAGATGTCCTGGATAAAGGAAAGATCATTACTGTTGTTAAAGTGACTAGAGGCACTCATAGAACAAGCTTCCAGACCTTAATTTGACTTGCATGCCATATGTAACAGAAAATATAACTCCTAGGACAGGATCCATATTTGTAGATTATAAACATGTAAAAGACAAACCATCTTTGTAAGTTGTAAAATGCCTAACATAGTTTTCATTAACTCTAGGGATGCTTATTGAACATTAATTCCTTATTAATCATTTTGATCTTATATTCTTGCCCTACAGATTAAGTTTCTCCCATATAGATATTGATAATGGAAATTTATATAGCCCAAGGAGAGGCATGAAATAATAATGATAGATTTCTACCAAGGGAAATACACTATATCTCCAGAAAGATAAATTTTTACTTTATCAAGTCTAAATTTGCCTTTTTTGAAATTTCTATCCATTGTTTCTAGTACTGCCCTCTGGGTTCAATGAGGACAAATCTAATCTCTCTTCTATATGACAACCCAGAGATCAACAAATCATATTCCTCCCCTGATTCTGCTATTCTCCAAGGTTACCAGCCCAGTTCCTTTAGCTGATCTTCTCAGATTCAAGGCCCATTGCCATTCTAGCTGCCCTCCCAGGGACACTCTCTAGTTTCTTAATGTCTTTCCCAAACTGTTGTGGTAAAAACTTAACACACTAATCCAGAAATGGTCTGATCAGGGTAGAGTAGGGGGGACTACTGCCTCCTTATTGGTGGTAGGTACTGGGCTCTTAATGCAGCCCAAGATCACTTTTACTTTTTTTTTCTTGCTTCCTTGTGACTTACTGACCCTTACTGAGTTTATTATAGTCCACTAAAACCCCATTTTCAGACCTTTTTCCAGACAAACTGCTGTCTAGACACATCTTCATTGTGTACTTGGGATTATGGGCTATAAGATAGAAGGGACCTTAAAGGTCATCTAGTCCAATCTTCTAATTTTACAGATGAAGAAACTGAGAGGAAATGACATATTCAAGATTATAAAAGTGGTATGTAGAAATGGAATGATTCAAACCTAGATCTCTGACTCCAAATTTCTTGTGAAGCAGATTTTCTAAATCCAGTATGACAATGTATGTCCCCATTAAATCCCTTCTTCTTTCATTTGGCCCAATATCCTAACTCATCAAGATCTTTTTGGATTCTGACTTGTCATCCAACATGTTAACTATCCCTCCTAGCTTTTTATCACCTAGGAGCCTTTATCCAAGTTATTCAAATGTTAAACACCACTGGGCCAAGTGAAGATTCCTGGGGTGCCCTGCTAAGGTTTTAACCATTCATGATAGCCCTGAATTCATCTAATTATACAATTATCTGTCACACATACCTCCATAATGGAATAGCATGAGAGACATTTTTGCATGCTTACCTAGATACTGCCAAAATCCTGCTAAAAAGGGAAACAAAGTTATGATGGCTCTTTAGGGACTTCCTTTTTTTAGTGTTCATGAGCCATCTTTTAAATAATATTTTCTAGACATTTGTCGGGAAGCAAAGTTGAGCACATTTGCCTAGTTTCCAAATTCTATTCTTTTTCCTTTTGTTGGAGAATGGCTTATTCGATTTAAAAAAAACTGTTAAAATGTGTTATTGATTTTTTTAACATCACTGGTATTTCCCAATGCCGTCTCTCAGTCCTCAACAAAAGTCTACTTTGTAACAAAAGTAAAATTAGGCAATACCTTGGCCTTGTCTGACAAAATATACCTCCTATCTGTTCCTTTCCAGCCATATGGTGCCTCTTTTGTGTTTTCCATGATCTTGCAAATATTACTGATGGTGGTGTAGCAATAATATTCACCAATTCTTTCAGTTATTGAAGGTGTAGTGCATCTGGATCAAGATACTCAAACTCATGAAAAGGAGTTAGGTTGTTCTTTTACTATCTTCCTACTTATCTTGGGTATGAACTGCCTAATAGCCATTTTTGTTTCCTTTCTGGCCCAAACATCATTTTTATTGGCAGAAGCAAAACCAGATACAAAATAAAAATGGAATAGCTCTGCTTTCTCTCTTTCACCAGTTATCATTCCGTATACCACGTACAGCAATTCTATTCATTCTTTGATCGTTCTTTCCTCCCCAATATAGCTTTCATTCCTCCCCTTTTTTGGTTTTTAATGCTTAGCTTAATTTGGTGTTCTTATCCTTTTTCTTCCAGACCTTCCCTCCTTAAGTCACCAGTGACTGATGGGTTAGATAGGGTTAGAATCTAACACCAATTTGTCTCTGCATCTTTTCAAAAGAAGAGAAATGCTTGTTTCACTCTTTAATTTCAGCTCTTCTACTTTCCACTTGCAGATGGATCTAGTTTTCCAAGTCCTTGGAGTTTTTCTGTTCATGACCGTGCAGAATACTTAGCCTCCTGGAAATCAGCTCAGTGCATTAGGGCTCTTGCATTCTTAATGGCTCCATTTATATTAAGAAATCAGTTTCTTTTGTCCATGTATATGCCCTCTTGAGCTGCCTTTCATTTTTCCTTAGTAATTGCATTGGCTAAGTGCAGACTTACCAAAGGCAATATTCACATTAATTTAGCAACTTGTGTAATTTTCACAAGATGATGGATGTGGATTTCTCTTGATTCAGAATTATTGTACATTCTGCTTAATAATTATTTTAAGTCACTGTGATTTTGGAGAAAAGACATATGCCAGGTGAACATCCTGAAGGTGAGGGTATACAATTAAGCTTAAGCTCCTGGTGCTAGCAGAAAATTTCCACCTACAAATCAACGTATTATTATATTGCCAATCAGTGAACGTTCCCTAATGAACCGACTGAAAACTGGCATTTTATATAGTGCTTAAAGTTTGCAAAGCACCCCACATATAATTATTTCATTTGATCTTCAAAAAACCCTCTGACATAAGTAGTATAGGTATTATTACCCCTGTTTTAGAGATGAGGCTCACGGAGGTTAAACAGCTTTGACCATGATTATGAGGTGTAGGACCTGAATTTATATCTTCTTTCATCTAAAAAAATTTATGTTATTAAATATTTTCCAATTACATGTAAAAAATTTTAACAATCATTTTTAAAAATTGTGAGTTCTCAATTCTCTCCCTCCCGCTCCTACCTACCTCCTCCTTTAGAAGGCAAGCAAATTGATATCGATTTTATATATGAAGTTATGCAAAACACATTTCCATATTAGCCAGAATCCGTATCTTCTTAACTCCAAGTCTAGCCTTGTATGCACTAAGCCACACTGCCCTCCCTATGGTATCTGATGTGAGCATGGCATCATCACCAAATGGGGACAGAATAAGAAAGAGAAAGGGAAAGACTGTGTAGAGTAATAGGAAGCACATTGGATTCAGAGAGAGAAGACCAGAGTCCAACCTTTATTTCCGTTACCACTACCCCTAGCCATAAGATTATGGCAGCTAGGTGGCATGATAGTACATACAGTTTGGGGCCTGGAATCAGGATGACTCATCTCCCTGAGTTCAAATCTGGCCTCAGACACTAGTTGTGTGACCCTGGGCAAGTCACTTAACCTTGTTTGTCTCAGTTTCCTCATCTGTAAAATGAGCTGAAGAGGCTAAATGGCAAATCACTCCAGTACCTTTGCCAAGAAAACCCCAATTGGGGTTACAAAGAGTCAGACATGACTGAAATGAATGAACAACAAAAAACATATGTACATACATACATACATACATACATACATACATACATATATACATACATATGGACGTAAACTTATATAGATATATATGCTAGGTACTGTGTCAAGTACTGAGGAAGTCATTTAATTTTTCTGGGCTTCAGTTTCTTTATCTACAAAATAAGGAGGTTAGATGAGATTATTTCTAAAATCCTTTTCTCCTATAAATCTTAGGATCTGTCCTATTAATTACAGAACCTCCTCACAGGTAGGCATCTTGGAGGCCACTAAGTCCAACATATAACCTAACAAGAATCTCACCTCTAGCATCTCCAACAAGTAGAGTCATTTAGAGGAATCACCTACTACAGAGTCCAGCAACCACTCTCTAGTTCTAAATTGTCCAGCTGGCCCTAAAATTCAGAGACAAATTTCTCCTCCGGGAGAAAAATCTCTTTTGAGAATGTTATCATTTGCCATATGCTCATTAGACTGACATAAAAGGCTAGACAGATCTAATGACTGGAATGCTCATCTGGAAATTCTAAGGGCTCAAAGTCCTCATATTCCGACAAACACAGATTCTTTGACTACTAGAGTAGACTGTCCCTGTTGGCTCATACACATTAAAGAGAATCTATTATACCAACGTGATGGAATTTCTACCAATCCTGATGACCTTCTCTAAATGGCCTCTTAGCTATTAAAGGTCCTCTACCAAGGAGAAAGCTCTCCATCACTGAAGGTTTCCAAGTTCAAGGCTGGATAATCACTAGGGGATGATTTGGAGGGGATTCTAGCTCAGATATGGAATGGAATCTATGATCTTTGTGGTACCTTCTAAGTCCAACCTTCTTTGACTTTAAAAAGAATGACAGTGGTTGCATCTAAAGCTGTCTGTATCTCCCAAGGGAGAACAGGACAGCAGCTGCTTTGTCCTCTTCTTCCTGTACTCCTTCACACTGATGTGGGCAGGAATGAGCTCAGATCCATGGTGGATCATGGCTATTTTTCTCTCTCCTGCCTCCCATTCCCCTTTTTTCAAACTATAGAGGTCAGGTGGCTTGAGAAAATGTGGGGCTGTGGTTCCAGGAGAATAACGCAGAAACGAAGAAATACCTTACATCCATCTTCTATCAACTCCCAGGAACTGCTGTGCTAGGTTCAAACATAACCAATCTTTCTCTTTCCTTAATTCCTACTTGAGGTTTTTTCATTTTCAAGTGGAGAAGACAAGGCATGCCTCAGGAGCGGAAACTGCTTTCTAGAATGTGGTTAAATCCATTTGTTACTGAAAGCATCTAAAACTATTATATAGTGAGCTCTGATGTTGACTGTTGACCAGCTGTGAGTTCTCC